TATACAAACATGCACACACACACACACACACACACACACACACACACACACACACAATGTATGAATATTGTGTGTTACCTGTTATATATACACGTACATGTCTTGTATGTTTTATGTTATATATACATATAACACACAGGTGAGTGCGTGCATGTGTGCCTGTGTGCCTGTGTGTGTGTGTGTGTGTGTGTGTGTGTGTGTGTGTGTGTGTGTTAGGATTACTATTGTTGTGATGAAACACTATGGCCAAAGGCAAGTTGGGGAGGAAAGGCTTTCTTTGCTTATGCTCCCACATCACTGTTCCTCACCAAAGGAAGTGAGGCCAGAAACCTGGAGTTCTGCAGGTGCAGAGGCTATGAAGGAGTGCTGCCTACTGGCTTGCTCCTTATGGCTTGCTCAGTGTGCTTTCTTCTAGAAACCGATGCTGTGGGATGGTCTGCATGTCAAATTGCTCTGATTAGTCAATAAATAAAACACTGATTGGTCAGTGGCTAGGCAGGAAGTATAGGCGGGACTAACAAAGAGGAGAAAAGAAAGAACAGGAAGGCGGAAGGAGTCACTGCCAGCCGCCACCATGACAAGCAGCATGTGAAGACGCCGGTAAGCCACGAGCCATGTGGCAATGTATAGATTTATGGAAATGGATTAATTTAAGCTATAAGAACAGTTAGCAAGAAGCCTGCCATGGCCATACAGTTTGTAAGCAATGTAAGTCTCTGTGTTTACTTGGTTGGGTCTGAGCGGCTGTGGGACTGGCGGGTGACAAAGATTTGTCCTGACTGTGGGCAAGGCAGGAAAACTCTAGCTACAGAGACTACCAGTACAGTGGCATCAGCCTTCATGGACTGGGCCCTCCCCCATCAATCACCAATTAAGAAAATGCTCTAGAGGCTTGCCTACAAGCCTTATATTATGGAGGCATTTGCTCAATTGAAGTTCCCTTTCCTCAGATGACTCTAAATTGTGTCAAATTGACATAAAAACTAGCCAGGACAATATACACACATACATACATAATTACACATAAACACATATTCATGTGCATGTTAATCCTATTAGTTGTGTTTCTTTAGAGAACCTTAAGTCATGGAATAAACCAAACAAACCAGCATTCTTTACATTTATTACTAGATTAAGGATCTCCAGATGGGGAGATTGTCCTGGATTGTCTAGGTGGGCAAAATGTAGTTGTAAGTACCCCTCTAGAACAAGGTGTCAGTGGCAGAGCCACAAAACAAGATATAGAAGTAGAATTAGAAGAAATATGCTTGGTAATGCTGTGCTGTTGGTTTTGAAGATGGGGTGTCTCTGAGACAAAAAAGTTCCAGCAGCCCCTGCAACTAGAAAAGGCAAAGAACTAGACAGTCTCATCCAGAGTCTCTGGGCGGGGGGTGGGGGCGATGGAGCTCTGTCACATTAGGTTTCTGACCTTCAGAACTCTGATATAATAAAATCACATTTTAAGCTTGTGATAATTCCTTACAGCATCAGTAAGACACTCATGCACCTGTCTACCACTGACCGCCTCACTACTTGGTTTATCTGTTTTTCATTTTCTGTACAGAACTTCTGTTTTGTTATCCCAGATTTATGTTAAAATCTCGAGAGGCTGTGTATATTATGTAATAAAGTGGAACTCAGATTTACTCTCCTGTCTTCATCTTTCAAATGAAGTAGATGTCATAATACAATAGGTGCTCGAATGAGTCCTCTATTCCATTGCTCAGAATTACACACACATGAGAAGACACAAGCTGTCAAGTGGTTTTTCCCTTCAGATGGATCATATAGACTCATGCAGTTGACCAAAGCCAATTAGATGTATGTGCTGAGATAAGTCACTTGTGGTTTCATTTGATCTGTAGAATTGCATAGGTTGAATGCTTCCTGCATTCTTATCTGAGTAAATCATGAATAAATGGCTGAGCAAACTAAGCTTATCATTAATTTATACCCAAGTCACCAAAATTGTAATGCAAAATCAACAACAACAACAAAAATCCTGATGCGGTGCTATGATTTGACTGGAGCCAACTTGGGGAAATTGAATACTATTTAACACTGTTAGGATAGGAGAATTTGTTAACCTGTGGCTAGAAGATAGATACCCATATGGTTTCCTATTTCTGTGATCTGTTTGACAAAATGTGGAGTTTTCAAAGAAACAACGATGGTCTTTTTGGATCCTGAGTTCAAAGGCCTTATGTGTGGTTTGTCAACATTTCGATGAAAGCTTTGTTCAAACAAAATAGGCCATTATCTAATCTTCATGGAAACTCTGGGGGTGGTAAGAAGGAGCCTTTTCTTTACTGGGGAAAATAAATTTTGCTTTGGTTTCAATAGAGTATTTATTTCTCTTTTGACTCATAAACTATTCAATGTACACAGCCCACTGGATCTGGGATAATGTTTGGTTTTAGGATATTGTTAATGTGAAATGGCACTAGTAATTCTTTGAATATAGTTTTGTTATTAAATAACACACACATTTAAAGACATTGTATTCTTTCCTTTTAGTGTTTATTTACCAAGAAGCACAACAATAGTTAAAGGGACCTTCATCCAATCCCAAGCCATAGTAAACAATGTTTCTAAAGTTATTTGGGATCTACACAGGCTGCTCTTCAGTGATCTGGGGCAATCAACTTCTCCCTCTTGTTTCTCCCTATCAACCACAACTTCTTTTTCCTACTATGACCCTTGCTTTGTAAATGGTATAGGTTTAGGTAATGAAGATCCTTAGCTAATGAGGCAATCCTCTTACTGTCTGGAAGACTCTCAGGCAAGTATCTCCTGTTCTGACAGTCCTCCATGGAAAGCCTGTGTTGTGTGGAGCCAAGAAGACTGAAGGGGCAACGTGTCTGTCTTAACTCTTCTGCTGGCCGTGTGGCCATGCATGGATCTCACTCCCTAGTGAGCGGTGACAATACATTCATGTGACCTGCCAGCAGCTCAGAGGAACTGGAAGCATAATTTAGGTCAAGATGTGTATAAGTGGTATGGCTCTATAATGTGCTAGACAAGTGAAAGGCGTTACTTGTCTGTGAGTCCGTGGATATCCTGCTGTAGAGTGATAGTAGTCTCTCCATTCTGCTGGCATCAGGGCCCTGGATCTCATGAGAGCAACAAATGCTTCCTCATTCACAGCCAGGAGAACAAGGCACCCTTAGAGATGGTGTTTTCCAGTTAAATTACTCATTCATCCCACCTTTTCTACTTCCTGTGGTATGCAGAAGCCACCACCCTGGAGATATGACCCTCTGCCTTACCACACAAAGAGCTCTCCTTCCAAAGCCACATCTGAGGAGGCTGGAGAGTAGCTCATCCTCCCCAGGCTCATGCCCACTCACCTCTTTGTTCCCATGACACACCCATGGCAACAGCTTCCCTGTCCCTGTGGCCTCTTCACAGTGTTCCTGTGTCCCGCAGATCTCATTGTCAATGTTCTTAGGATGGAATATGCTCACAGTGACTCTGTATGAATTCAAGAATTGTTTAGAAACAAGGAGATGGTATTGGCAATGTCAAAACGAGGTGTAAGTACAATTTTCCCAGTGCTCACCAAACGTTGTATTTTAAAAACAGCAGGAAGGAGTCTCCATACAACAGGGCCCATATGGGAGGCTTATTGAGGGGAGGGGAGAGAAGGGACAGAGAAAGGGGCAGAGGCCAGTCCCTGGGGGCGAGAGCAAAGGAAGAGAAAGAGAACGGAGGTGGGGAAGGCCCGCCTTTTATAAGGGAACGTAAGCCCTACTTGGGAAAGGGAATCTCAGAGAAAGCAGACGTGAAATGAAGAACTATCAGAAGATGAATACAAAGCACAGAGGACAGTCTTCCAGGGAGGGATGAAGTAACTACAGTAATTTAAATCCAAAGGCCCAGCATTTCAAATGTCTCCCAGCCATTCCCTAGCTGTGCCAAAGAGGACAATGAGGAAATGGTTTTAGATATAGGGGGAGGGATTAATTAGATACAGAGAATGTCTTAGTAAGGTCATTTGTTAAATATCAGAAGAGGTTACAAAGGAAATTGAGATTCCCTAGCAATCTTTCTATAGTAAGATGATTTCTACCCACATTATGTGTTCTGAACAAAGTATCCATAGTCGTTTTCAAATGCCTGTACATTCAGTTAAGCAAAATGCATTAGGCCTTGAATAATATTTCTCACTCATGACTATCTCGCTATCTTTTAACCATTTGGGGGAGGTTTTATCCTATTGGTTACAATAAATATAAAGTTTACCACATGCACTGTCCAGTTTATTAAGTACATTCTCACTGTTTTACAACAATCAACACAACTTGTCTCAGTAAAATTTCATCCTATATTGAAACTCTGGACTCATAAAATAATAATTCCCATCACCTTCTATCCCTGTCTCAAGTAACCACATTCTTGTTTATATTTCTATGAATTTAAGCTCTTTGAACATTTTGAAGCTTGGCCTAACTGAATGACTTCCAGTTTCCCAACATAGACCCTAATGTATGGCATGTCCCAGTATTTTTCAAATAAAGCGAGGCCAGGCATCCCTGTTCTGTTAGGCAGATTCAGCCAATGACTCTACCCAGACATAAGCTCTATAGAGCAGAGGCGGGCAAGTGACATCTTTTTTATTGGGGCAAGGTGGCAGAAATTGGATGAGGTAACAATGGCCATCTGATTTGGGTTGGGAGAGCATGAGCCTGTGTCGGTCTGGGGACAGCTCCCTCATTGTGCCTGAGAAGATTTATTCATCCTTAACTTTGTTGGCATTTTAGTGTTCCTGCCCATTACACAAAATCTATTCACAGGTAAAGAATTAGAAACATGCCACATTCACCCAGGGCATCACAGTGATTTCACAACAGTGGCTATAACCATGATTCACTATGGGTGTATTCTAAAGTGCGGGGGTTTTATGAATCTACACTGTGCTATTTTCCTCATTAATTTGACAAGATACCTGAAAAAAGCAATGCAAGAGAGAAAGGATTGACTTCGGTTTCCGGTTTCAGGAGCATTCACTCCATCATGGTGAGAAAGGCATATCTTTGCCAGCAGAGGAATGTGAGCTAAAGTGGCTGGCCGCAGCAAGGCTAAACCAGAAAGTGGAGAAGTGGACCAGAGAAGAGGTGGGTGTATCTTTCAAAGTCTTACCTTTTTTATTATGTCTGTTAGTTACACCTCCTGGCCCAAATGTTCCATGACTTCCCCAAACAGCACCACCAGATAGGAACCAAGTGTCCGACTACCTGAGCCCATACGGGATAACTCACATGGAAAGTATCTCTCATCTGTGTGAATTGACATGTATGCAGCACTTCATACTTTCCACTCTCTCACAGCTTAGTGCTGCTTTATTTTATTTGTATCCTGTTAGCCTTTTATCTTAGGTGTGTGATGTTTTCAGAAATCTTTTATCACACCCAGTCTTCACATCAGCCTTGTAAATTAGAAAGAGATGTATTTTTATTTTATATACAAATATAATTTAAAATAATTTTAATATTAGTAGTGCCAGAAAAATCAAACTACAGAATTAATATTGAAGAAAAGTATCATCTTTCTTAAATTCAGTTGTACTCTCTAATAGCAAAGTTGCTCAAGTTTTGTGTTTAATCACATTGCTGCATCTAACTTCAGTAGACTTTTCTGCTGATGTGATGATTCATGTTGATTAGCCTGGACTTTTCTAGACTCCAGCAGTGAAGGGAAAAATTACATTAACATTTGAGAGGATCCCTTGCGCGCGCGCACACACACACACACACACACACACACACACACACACACACACACA